TGGGGAGTATAATATTTATTCCTGATTATCAGTTTTAAAAAAGTGAATTCCCAGACAAAAGAGAGAAAACAATTATTTCGAATAGTTAGTTAAATTAGTTGAAAAATTATTCTGCTTTTCCGCGATAAAAATGTCAAAAAAGCATATCATTCCCCGTTCATAAAATTGTTGAAAAATAATCTGCTTTTCAGCGACTACAATGTAAAAAAAAAACCATCATCCCCTTTTCATAAACTAAGTTGATATAACAAATTACTTACAAAGTGACTTGTATTTTTCATACACCGTAACAATTCATGTGTGTCTTGCTTCATGCAGTTACAGTATCTTAACAATGATTTCTAAAGTTTATATCTAGATTAATAAGTGGGTTTTATTCATCATTATAAATTGGTCGTAGGACGTTTTAAAACCTGAACGCATCAGAAAGGTTGGTAAAATAGGATGTAAGTCCTGCAAATCTTTGCAGAAATTGATATTTTTGGACGGCTAGATAAGTCAAATAATGCATTATCTATAGCTTAGTGCTCCCTTAAGTTTTTAAATTTTTTTCTAAATATTCATAACAGGTTATCCTGAACAACCAGACAGTGTTCCATCATATGTACCATCAGCTGGGATAGAAGAAGGAAACAATGTTGTCTTTACATGTACTGGTAATGTTGGCAAACCACAAGGAAAATTCAGATGGGTGAGATACAGACGTAAATCCAATGGTATTATTATACGGGAAACAACATATGAAACAGAAACCACTACAGCAGTTCAGATGCCAAGAACCTGTACATTTAATGGTACCAGTCAGCTGACACTAAAGATGGAACAACTAGATAATAATGCTGTAGTTAGATGTCAGGTTATTTATCAAGATGTACCACAGGGGAGTTTATACAGACAGACCGATGGCATTAATGTATATTGTAAGTTGTTAGATCCAAATGTGTCGATGCAGGAGTAAAATTATATCACATCTCCCAATGCTAATTTAAAAAAAAAATTTAAATAATAGCAGAGCTAATAATCATGATAGTGAGGGTACTTATGTAGAATAACATTTTGTACACATCGATTTTACAATAATGCAGATGTTGACGCATTGGTGAGTCAACAAGCCCTACTTCAAGTTCACAAAAATTGGACATTTGCTTGTATTTAATTGATAAACTTTAAACAAAAATCGCTAAAGTAGCATGAAGGAAAGAATAATTTGGAAAAAATGGTTGAGTAGAGGATTGCAAATTGATAAATAATTTGAAAGAAATGTACAACTTATTTAGTGTCCTGCAAAACCAACATTTACCGAAGGACCTATTAGTCTAACTTGTACAATGTTTGTCTGTCTACATTTTTACCACAGATCGTGTTAAGAATGTACAAGTAACAAAGTCTCCAACCAATCCTTCATTTGCTGAAGGAGCAGGACCCATAACTCTTACATGTACATCAGAGGGGAATCCTGCTGTAACACAGACAGGTTATACTTGGTACAAAGAATCCAACGCCAGTGTGTCACTAGGGACTGGTTCGACATATGTCATCAATAATGTTGTGGTTAATGAAACAGATAACTACATATGTGCAGCACAGAACAGTTTTAATGACATTCAACATAAACAATGCGATACACATACAAATAGGTGAGTATTTACACCCATACACCCCAACCTCCACACACACACAACCACACCCACATCCACACAGGGATAGACAGAGAGAGAGAGAGAGAGAGAGAGAGAGAGAGAGAGAGAGAGAGAGTGAGAGAGATCAATAATGTTGTGGTTAATGAAACAGATACCAACTACTAGCAATAACGGAAGTTATATTGATTTTTTGAATAATTCAACAAATATTGTATGGAATGAAATCGGACGCAGGGGAAAAATTGTAAACGCGGTCTGACAAGTCGATACAAACCGCCAGCATTTGTTAAATTGGCAAGAAGGTGTTCTCTGGTAACAGAAGTAACAAAGGTTCCTCTATGGAAATTAAAGTGTACGAGGAGCAACCCGAATAATGCTTTCCCGGTATTTGGAGGATACAATAATTCAAAACTGGTACCAGGAATTAACCATGTGAACCGTCTGCTCTGGTTAACAAGAAAAATCCCATTTAAAAAAAACTTCCCTGTGGTTACACAGGACAATGTTGTAGCCTATGGTCTAACGTAGAATTTTGCTGTTCCTCATTTGCATTGATACCTAAAATGACCGAAGGGGAAGTTCGTTCAATTTTGAATCTTTAATTCCCTCCTGATAATTCTTTAAATGAGAATTGATATGAGAAATGTATCAAAGAGACAACAACCCGAACAAACAGCAGATAGCAGCCTAAGGCCCAAATGTGTCTATCATTTCGTTTATCGAGAATATCGATAATGCAGTAGATCAGAGTTTTGCTTGGTTTTCACCTCTTATTTGTAATAAAGTATAAGAATTACATTTACTAAACTTTTAAAAATAACCGTTATTAATTTAGGTGATCGGAAAGGTATTTTGCATAACTCAAGCAAACATTCTCTTGGATTAACTTTTAAAGTTCTTTTCGTTATTCTTTACCAAAGGAATTTATTTTAGGTTACTTACAATATTTTATTTAAAATAGAGAGTATAAACTTATTTAATTGATTACCAAAGGTATAATAAGACGTTTCTAATTTGGAGACGCGAATATTTATTTTGCACTCAATTATGCTTTATTTTGCACATGAATGATAAACCGTTGCAAGGGATCGTCTTAAACTTTGAGTGAAGTGAGAGTTGTTGTCCCGTGTTTAAGTCCTTACTGTGACTTTGAGATGTAGAACAACAATAAAAGCGCTGTTCCTTTGCTTTTGTGTTTTTGCTGTAAATATACTGATTTTGTGTATTCCTTTCTTTTCCATTAAAGTATAGAATATTTGAAACCCAGATGACGTATAATGCAAAAATTTTAAATGAAGGGGATAATGAAAACCCAACAAATCAATGACAACTATTTATAGATTCGAGGCTTTAAAATGATTATGTTTAATGCTTCCGGGTGAAAATTAATCCAGCAAAGCGCTTCGGACTCTTCTCAAATGTCATTTAATATCCATGTCGCTGTTACTGTACACATGAGGATACTACTTATTTATCATATAGTGTTTTTATTTTTAATGAAAAATACTGATGATGACATAAAGTATGTCTCATTAAGCTGCCAGTGTGATTTTAAACATGAATATAATTTCTTTAACAGACTTTACCACTACAACTAATTCCATGACATTAATAAAGACGGAGACAACTTCTACCAACCATAAAACACCCAGCGTAAAGATCAAACAAGGTAAATCTTTGATGATTTCTTCAGTTTAATTAGTTTAAACAGTTTTTTATTCAAATAAATTGGATTTGGATTGGGCAACAGGCAAAGCCTATGTAAGCTCTCTTTATGATTTCGTCATGGAGGAGGATTCCATCTTATAGCAACTTTTGACGCCTACTAATGTTAACTTTTGGTATTAAGTTTATAATGCATATGCTTGTAGGTGGATGTATGTTTAGATTTGTTCCTGGGTGTATATATTCATTATAATTTGCTACATTTATTCAAAATCTCATTTAATCTATATTTTCAGTGTTATATATTTCACATTCATATCATTTTCATATTTCGTATTCATATTTCACGTGACGATGGACGGCAAACAATTTTGCGCTGCGTATTTAGAAACAGACTATAGCGTGTACGCTATGTTTTGCTACTGAATATTTTAGATGCGGCTCTATATGTATTTTTAAAGATCAGAACTTTAAAACTTATCATAGATACCAGTCATCGATCAATATATACCAAGAGCGACGGACGATGAGAGTTGCCGCACAGGTACTTGTCAAAATACTTATTACTTTATCTTCTTCTAATGTTTCACTTAAAGAAAAGATCTTTTTAAATATAATATTCAGTTTGGCTTCAACGCCGCATTTAGTTGTATTTTGAACAGATAGAATCAGTAAATGTCAGATTAAAGCTGCGTTGCAGGTAAATATTTCGTTTATGCATATTGTTTGTATTTATCGTAACAAATTGTAAATATGGCTTACAATTTTGTATTTACAGAAAAAGAACTTATTTTTTTCATGCAGAACATGGCCCATGATTTTGTACCAGTAGTACTTTAAGTACAATTTAGTCTTGGTGGTTTGCTGACTATGTTACTTCACCCTGTTTTTTTCATCTACATTAAAAGTCCCATTTCACCTGCGACAGATATCATAAGACGTGGAATAAATAGTCATATATGAATGGTTTGAACTGCAAGCAAAGTGAGACGAAGTGCGTCTTCAGAATAGGCATCTTCTGCTATCAATGCACTATCTGCCACAAGATTCAAAAGTCTTTATATTATGATAGCAAGTGTCGCAACCATAATCATAACAACACAATCGGTCAAAATGCAGACGGATGACAATCAATGGAATTAAAGAAATGTAACTCTATTTTGCTATTTAACAATTACAAATGGAATGCAATGTACTTTGATATGTCAACACAAAACAGAAACACCGCCTGTAATTCCTGTGGATGCATAATAAAATGTAGAATAGGAAACAAGGATTTTCTTTGTTAATCAACAGTTATATGCAAGTGACAGCAATTGTGAAAATCCGTCATAAAATGAATCTGTAATTTATCTTTCATATATTATTACCATTCAAATTTTAAATAGGTGCCTGTGTCTAAAATATTAGTAGACAGATCAAAGTAAATTTTTATTCGTATTATTCGTGGTAGATTTTAATTTGAATTGGGTAATAATGTCAAGGGAGATAATGAAGTATGAAAAATCAACGAACGACAAAGGCAAGTCTCTTACACTAACATTTAAAGCTAGATGAGGTGCAAGTGAATTCAGATTTTGCCCTCCGCCCACTTTCGTTTATATCAACTCAATTCATCTTGACTGTCTTGAGTTTAAGTATTTTTATATTATATCACTAATAAATCTCATAATGAAATGAAATATTTATTTTTAGAAAGTTCAACAGTGGTTAATTCAATATTAATTGCTGTGGTAGCAGTACTTACTGTTTTGCAACTTGGAGAAATAGTTGGTGTATACATATTACACAAAAAAGGTATGATATAATATATTAAGGAAAAATATAGGGAGAAGATACTTAGGGACTATCAGTTTAAAAAATACAGAAAAAACATAGCCAGACGAAAAAAGTCATGCTGGCAACAATTCATAGAACACTACATAGAAAACTTAAGATTGAGCATACGAAACAACTGAAGGTGAACTGAAGTGCATTATGTTGCTACACAGAAATTGACATTTAACGATAGGAAAATTTAATTCATCTCTTTCGTCGTTAGTTCTCAATCGACCCCCGTTATTGATATGACGGTATAGCAAACATGAAGTTGAATGATGACGCTTACTTCTTTTATTCTTCTTTTGAAGATTCTGTTTGAAGTCTGTCGCATACGACTTAAGGCGACTTAACTGCGTTCATTTGAATTCCGACTCAGTGGTAAAACTGGTTACGCGAGAACAGTAGAAAAGGAACTCTTCTTATGGAAAAGTCGATAAAATCAATAATAAAACAATACGGTGACGAAACTGATTAAAAGTTATTTCTAAACAACAATCGTACATTGTATAGAAAGTATTTGTTAAACTGTGCATATATATATATAAAATTTGCATGCAAAAACATGATGTTTTTACCATTATTTATTAAGATAATTGCATGAGAAGCTTGTGAAACTGAATTAAAAAAAAAATAAAAGTAAATCTTTGCTGCATATTGTTAAAAAAATTTGGAAAACAAAATTAGCAAAAACTGTTGATGGGGACTAGTCTTGGGGATGGGAATTAACCTTATGTTTGTTTCGTGTCGGTACGTCAATTCATTCCAAAAGTAATCTCCTTTATGAAATATCACTTATCATTTGTATAAAATGGGCTGCATTTATTATTTGGATTTTCGTTTACCCCCACAAAAATACTGCAAAGAGAGACTGTAAAAGGTTATGTAAAACAAAATGTGAATTTTGATGAAAACTGTCTTTTTTTTCATGTCTGTGAGTCCAATTTTTTAAAGGACTTTGTTAGTATCAAATTGCCAAATTCACTCAAAGTTTGTCATTTTAAATAATGATTGTTTCGGCAGTTTTTTGCAGGAATTAAACGAATTTTTTTCTGGCAGTGTAAGAAAAATTTGTATTTGTTGTGTCATCTCAGATATCCTGACATTAATATTTCGACATGTTCATTAATTTTTCAAGTATTAATTTACTTTCAGACTCTTCTTACCATGAGTTTTCGGATTTACTTTAAAATATGTTTCTACTGCGCATTAAAGCATTAAATGGCTATGTATATCTTGAAGATGCAAATAAAAAAGCCACAACAATATACGCCTACTAGTGTTTTCTACTGGTGTTAAGGGTCCTCGATAAACAGGTCATATCCTTTAACATAAAATGCCCCGATGAACTTAATCACGACTTTAACAGATTATGTATTGAACCCTAGCTATTCCATGGTGTAAATATAAGAAAAATCAAAAGAGAGGATAATTTTTGTGTTACACAGACCGACCCCCTCAATGTCGCTCGCACGTGTTTTGTTTCGATATAAGATTTCTTCTGTGAGTTATCGCAGCAAACAATCATAAAAGCTGAATAGTATTTCGGGCAGTTGTTATTTTACAATATCCATGTAAAAAACGATAAATAATGTGATCTGAAATGGAGAGGGTTATTGCGTCAATACGACAGCAATCCAATGACTCTAAAAGACAACTGGAAGCTAACATACTTTCTTCAATAATAGACAGATGTCTACACAATTAATAATGTCAAGTTCTTAATCGCACTTAATCAAGAAAATCGGAGTGAATTTTATTTGAAAACTTTTTTTCTTTCTTTAATGTTTAGTAGCTTGAAGTCTAAATATGTTTTCGGTTGATAAACAGTGCATAAACAAGTATAATGCCGTAAAACTTTAAAAGATTCACGATTTCATGACACGGCATTTTCATAACATCTATAAAGATGACATATATCTTAATATATAATATCAATGCATTGATCTCGTAGAAAATACTGTGCATACATGTACTTGATATAGAAAAAAAAACAAATGCCCGTATCAACGCCTGTGATGTCTGAAGAATTTCACTGTTTGAGAATGTACAGTTTGTTTCTTTCTTGTTTTTCCTGTTTTTGTTTTGTCATTTTTGAAAGAACAATATATAAGACCATGGGGAAGATAGTATAGACGAAAAAGGAGGATTAGTGGGAAAAAAATGCAATACACTGTAATAAAACAATAATAGCAATTGTATTTTGTATATTTTTGTCATATGCAATGACTACTTTCTTATTATGCAGGGATTGTACAATTCAAGATCGGAAAAAAAGAAACGTAAGTTTAGAATTACATAAGCTATCAACTGAACATACAAAATATGCACGCCATTGCATCAATAAAATTTAAATCTTTTAAAAATTAAACAAATCTCTTCTTTATAAATTTTGCTAAAACAAGAAATGTGTAGATTATACGATTTGGTGAAAACTACAAACTAGATATGGTCGATTATGCTATAAAACATGTAGATCCGACTGGATACTTTCATAAAAAGAAAAGGCATACATTTCTTCGTCGACAATAATTCCATGTTTTTCGAATAATTGATCATAAGTAAAAGTAAATAGTCCCATAATTAAAAAAAAAAACAATAAAGAAACCAAAATTATAAGTTGGTACGCCAAATAAGCGTTTTGTCTACATAAGACTAATCAATGGCACTCGAATCAGAAACTGTTTGAAGGCCAAATCGAATACAAAGTTAAAAGCATTAACAACCGAAAATTCGGAAAAGTTTGTGCATGTTTTTCGAATAAATCAACATTTCACAAACAGTAAATTTATAGAAAATGAACATACCAATGATATTTCATATCAACACATAAGTACTGACTACTGGGCTGTTAATGGAAATCAGCAAACGTTTAACATTAAATTTACGACCAACAGCTTAACGGATCGAATTCAGAATAATTTTTTCATTATGGATGTCATGTTTTTCTGCCTATTGAAAATGCGGTTCAGTTTTGCGTTTAATTGAAAAAAATTAAAAAAGATACAATACAGCAATCAAATGTCGACGAGGCCAAGAATAGAAGCCACCATGGCAAAACAACTGTAGGTCGTACGGTGGCCTGAAGGTGTTGCATCCTTGTCGTCTTGACTTCAGTAGATAGAACTTTCTTATTGGGAAGCATACTCCTTTTTTTTAAATTTTTATGAATATAGCATTAGCCGGATTTGACACTAAGCTCTTCAACTTAGTAACGGATTTTGATCTTCCTACTGTTTTGATTTGAGTCTAATGTAGACGAAACCCGTGTCTGTCGTATCAAACTATAAGACTTGTAGGTATCATTGATGAGTTTCTCTTTCACATTTGACAATGTTTGATACATAAACTTTTTCACCTGTTGTATATGTTCTAATGACGGTATATGTAAGTAAGAAGAAATGATAAAAACTATTTCAACATTTTGATTTCAACTGAATAGTAATGTGACGAAACAAAGAGATGGATATATCCTCAAAAAAGTAAATATAAGCAGTAGACAGGTTAAAATCATATTGATAAAACCAGGCCAAATGACGACAAATACCAAAAAGTGATATCGTTTACGTGCGTACGGTGTCGTATAGTTACTTACATCCAACTTTTGCGACTTTGGTATCTGGTAGACAGTGTTCTCATTGACAGTCCAACTACATCTCCTTATTGCTATGATATATAAGGTATATAACGATTGATAAATAGTTTTCTTTTTGTTTTGACTACATAAGATGTTTGTTATGAACTATGCAATTACCGAGTATATCTGTTGTCTAATAAAAACTATAGGTTTGTGTTAGTCTTAAGGAAAGGCAAATGATTGACTTACTGATATTCACTTCATGGGCTTAATTGTAAAGAAATATTGCCACGGTACGGGAAGCAATTGACATATACATTTGTTAGTTTTATGTTTTAGGGTTTATGCTGACGTCAATAGTGATAGTACACAAATACACGTTTACAGTACAATGAACAGTGCTGAAGATAGCGGGAACAGTGACTATAATGAAATTCACTGACGTCTTTACCTAAAGTCGAAATAGAGATGAAAATTTGTGTAACGGAAGTTGGTATGTTAGGCCGTTATTTGGAAGGAGTTATACTACTTTGTTTATGCTGTCATCATTTGAAACAATATCACAAAAGCATGCGTTAACTTATCCATATTACTCGTTATGATAGAAAAAATGCATGTATATGCCAAATAAGCTTGACGTAATCAAATACAACAACATTTTAAATATAGTTGACACCGTATCACATTCATAACATAAGCTCTCGGTCTACCAATTGTTGAGTGTAAAACGCTTGTACAAACGTTAAAAAAAATACAAACAAAACCCAAAAACGTTTACAAAAAAGGTGACTCGAATGTTTGCTTAATATCAGTCACTATGTCCCACTCAAAAATGTCTGGTTTCAAGGATTAACCAAAAAAAAAAAAAAACTCCAGATGTACACTGCATGTCGAAAATAGTTGCCGTAATTAATTTACGCATTTTCTTTGGACACTGTACAATATCGTGTTTGTTCCAATGTTCCGTTCGTAGCTGGTTAAAGTATCCTTGTAAATGTTGTCATGCAGTTATGAATTTTTTAGTTTTTCATAGTTGCCTAGATATGTAAATCAAAGCAGTCGACAAGAGATAGAGTTACATTCCTTATCACAACCTAGTGGATATATAGAAATGAACAACAGACATTTTCACTTCAGAATCCACATCTTCACTACAGTAACCGTGCATCTAAAATCATCACTAGTTTTTTTTTTTCTCTCTTTTTTAGTGAGTTTGTCAATCTGGTTTAATTATACAGTGTCTACAAAAACGGCATAATGTAGATTTTATTCAGAAAATTGTTATATTGTCTTAAATCTGTGAATATTTGATAATATGTAGGCTTATAATAAAGTATAAACACCTTATCACATTTCAAACGGCATTTCTATATGCTTTTGGTGGTTTTATTGCTGGATGCAGGTTTTATTTGCGTTTATTTTCATTTATTCGTTGCTCTTATATCTGAAGACATCTAAAAAAGTTAGAATCAGTTGTTTTACGTATTAAAAAAAGCAATGTTTTCAAATGTTGTCTTCTGTTTAAAAAGATCTGTATCAAAGACAAAAGCAATACATTACCCTGGTTCATAGTTACAAACTATAATGTAAGCGTCTCTCCAACCAAGATTATGTATATATGGACACTTCCACATTGCATATCCCACTGTTTTCGTATCGGCCCACATCATCTAAAGATGATAATACAAACATGTTAATTGTGATTATCATACAAATTACCGGCTATCGTACCGGTACGGCTAGTGAAATAGGTAAAACAGATTAAATTCTGCTGATCAAGATAAATATTGTATTGCAATGGCAATCGGCAACGCTGGCAAAAATCTGCTGTACAGGACTGCAAATCTATTGAATTGCATTGGGAATCAAACACGCAGACAAACTATAATACGAGATTTCTACATTCAACGAGTTTTTGTCAGAACTATCTCTGTTTTATCACCGAGCAAGCTTTCCAATAAATTATATAGCTTATTCGTCTAGTTTGACACCGGAAATTCAGAGAAAATATTTAATAGTGTATTATATCAACTATTTTTCAGATAGTATTGCTCTAAAAATAGTTTCAAAATTTTTTTTTTAGTAATTCTATTCCTTAATTGTTTGCATGTATATAGAACCCAGTCTATAAGTAATTCTCAGCAAACTCAACATTACAGAATTGGGATTTTTACAAAATTCAAAAATCCATGGTCTATCTCCATTAAAATTATAGAAAATAATGTCTCAAAAAATATTTTTGCTTTGTAATGTTTTATCTTCAGAAAGTTCTTTTCATTTATTAAAAGTGCTTACTTAGTTTTTAAAAACACAGTGGAACAAACAGTTTAGCTTGAAGTTCATAAATTTTATTCCTACTTAACTTTCTATTTTTCGGTCAAATGTTATTGATATTGCACTTTTACACGATTGCAAAATCAACTGAGTTGCAAGGGTAATCAGAAAATGCAGATAAAATATGAAGTTCACGATTGCAAAAGCTGTTTAATTGCAATGGTAATCGGAAACACAGAAAAAAATATTACTTAGCAAGATAGCTAAAACAAATTTAATGTTATTTATCGATCTGCGGTACCGATAGCCATGTATCTATACTACTAAAATAACGAAGTCCAATTTGTTAGCTGGCATGACGTGAAAACGTCGAATAAAATAATACAACTTTATATATAACAAATATAGGACAATGATGTTGTTTAAGAATTACATCATTCGTGGACCTTTTGTTTTCCACATAATTAATATTACCAATAATTAAATTACGGGTCAAATCCGATACCGATACCAATCAGGAGAACCTAGAAGTCTTCCAGTAGTTGTTGTATATCTATGTTACACTATGTTACTCTATTTAACAATTTTTCAACCCCAATACCACTATCAATTTTGGTTAATTATTTAAAAAAACATTTTTAGTTTATAGTAAGTTTATTGTAGTAAGAAAGTCAGGACGGATTCAAAGAACAGAAATATTTTGAAAGCAGAGAAAACTGTTCAAGTTACAATCAGCATGACTTTATCAGATGACAATACGAATATTAAAAATTCAGGCTAAAAACAAGGCATAGGAACTTTAATTCAGTTACGGACCCGCGGGTGTGTTCTAGTAGGATGTCAATATTATAACACATTGTTGTAACTACATGCATACATGCTTTAAAGGAAAATTGTTAAGTTATATAGATATACATGTAATATTATTATTATATTGTACAAATATTGTTTAATTAAAATTTCATATTATGTTTCTTTTATATCTAAGTTGCGTTTTCGTTCCTGTATCAATAGTATATGTTTCACTGTAATAAAACGTTGGTTTCATTTTCTTGTGTATTCCTATGATCTGTTTTAGTAGGTTGATTCAATATTCGATTTAAGGTCTCTATAGTTAACTCTTTTCTGGTCAATTACCGCTGAAAATCACATTTATTGTTGCCCCGTAACAATAATTTGTGTAAGTGATGACCATTTCCGTCTTTCCCTTTGGAGTATGATGCAATCGTTAACTAAACAATAGCAATCTAAGAAAAAGACCTTCGATCCCATTACTACACAAAAGAAAGGGATAAATCACCCAAAAGGAATTTCACAAAATAAGCGTATAAGTTTTGCAACCAATTATATTTTTATCACAGTTGCCTGTCAATCTTTGATTAGTGATGTTGTATAAAAAAATATTTTACTGTAGCATAAATCTGGCCCTAGGTTTTCTTTTGGATTGTTGAACTTTAGTTTATAGGTTTTACTGCTCAGTGTTGAAGGTCGTACAGTGACCTGTAATTTTTTCACATCTTAGTCATTTTTTTTTCTTTTATCGATAATTGGTCTACTTGACTATCATAACACATCTCTTCATGTTTATTTACCATGAAGGGAATGAAATATTAAAAGTCGAAGAAAGGCAGACCCTACCACGGTGAAAAGAACATAATTATATATAAAAGACAAAAGCATTCAGAAATATTAACTACGGGGCAATTGTGTATATATACTTAAGATATTTCTGGTAAATGGATTATAAGAAAAACGTAATCTCTTTGTTTTTCGCCATAGACATATCAAAGTCATAATCAACAAAATGATTGGCTTGTGTATGCCATCTTTACTATCTATAGAACTTTACTGTTTATCATTTTTAGGGGCACGTTTCAAAACACATTTTTTAATAAAAAAAAGGCTGATTTTGTTGCATATAAAAAGGATAGTATAATAAAAAAAACATTACTGGGACATGCGTATATTATAGTTTACATATTTTTTATTGTGTGTTTTATAATTATTCTGACATAACTTGTTGTCAAATAGCCTTCCATGTATGCATTTTGTTGATTGCTTATCCTTTTTAGTGCATTTATACCTGTGAATAATGACAACACATTTCCCAAGGTACACAATTATCGTTATAAATGTTGTAGTGATCCTGTTGGGTGCAGGTCGTTTCGTAACCTGTTCGTTTCGTAACTAGTCGATTCGTAACTAACTAGGTCGTTTCGTAACTGCGACGTTTCGTAACCATTCTTTCATATTTTACAAGGACAGTTTTGTCCACATAAGAATAGGTCAGAAAAATTTAAGTTGTCAATTATCATTTAGATGAACCCTGTATTTATCAAAGTTTTTGGTCTTCTGCCACGTGCATTGATGTCTCCAATACTTGACACCACTCATCTTGATTTTGCTTTATTCTTTATTAATCTTCATTTTGTTCTATCATAAGTTTAGTTAGATGATGTTGGAGCCTATCACTACAGAAGGAACACCTAAGCGCTTGGCATCTTTTGCGAGTTGCACAATCTCTGATACTCTGTGTGATGCAGATAATTTGTCACAGATGTCATGCTCTCAAATCTATATGAAAACAGAGTCTGGTTTAAGTTTCGTCACTATGTGGAGATCAAATTGTCTTAATGACTATTCTTTTCTCCCGCCTTCCCCGTGAAGATTTGTTTTGATTGCGTTCAAAACATCAAATCTACCAGTCATCTGATGAAACTGTTCCTCTTCCGAACTCCTGGTAGCTGGAAAAATGTCCTTTACTCCTACACATAAAAATTTTAAAACTGGTTTACATATTTTCATGTTCTTAGTGAAATCGTTTATCATTTAGATTTATAAAACAACGTTAAAGGCGTATTTAAATTCTTTTTTTAACAAGTGTCTTATTATCTAATACGTATGGAATGTCCATACATGTATTGCTTTGATATAAAAGCATTATACTAAAACAAGCTTAATACGTTTGGGCAAAAGAGGGACTCGGGTAAATTTAATTGTTTTCAAAAACCCTCTAGTACATCGCGGTTGTTACGCGACGATGCCAATTCAATTTTTTACTTAATTTGCTACATGTTCACATTATTTCTACCATTGTTCAAACACAATAGAAACCTGTCCTGTCTATATAATCTCAATTCAATATAAAATTGTTTTTGTTTCACATTTCGCCTTTTGATACCCGCTGACTAGACGATAATGACAAATATCCAATAAAACTGCACCATGTTCTTTTTTCGTCCCGTTTATATTTAAAATAATATCAAACTGTATCAGTAGTACATTCGGATGTAAAAATTTCACTTAATTCTCCTAACTGATTCTTTTAAATAAACTCATCATAGATACAAGGATTGAAATTTTGTACGCCAGACTCGCGTTTCGTCTGCAAAAGACTCATCAGTGACGCTCAAATCAAAAATAGTTATAAGGCCTAATAAAGTACGAAGTTGAAGAGCATTGAGGACCCAAAATTCTTAAAACTTTGCCAAATACAGCTAATAAGGTATTCTACTCCTGAGGTAGAAGAGCCTTAATATTTCAAATTCTAAGTTTTTTAAACAGTTAATTTATAATTATTATGACCATATCAATGATAATTCATGTCAACACAGAAGTGCTGACTACTTGACTGGTGATACCCTGTGGGAGAAAAAAATACCACCAAGCAGTGGCATCGACACAATGGTTGTAAATAAACTTTTCATAGAGGAGGATGACACAATTTTGGGATGTGGGATATAGGGGGTAAAAAAGTGGGATCTGGGAAAAAGAAGGGGAAAAAAAGGAAGTGGGATATGACCATAATGTGGGATGTGGGAAAAACCCACAAAAAAAAAAGAAAAAAAAAGAATGGTGAAAATGCCTGAATTGTCAAAGTGAAATGGAATGTGGACTACATGTGTCTGATTTGATAACAATGACATCGGTTTCAAAAGCATCACAAAATGTTAAGGCATCATATAAGCTTACAACAGTTGTTCAGGTACCACAAGGCTGTGTCTGGAGAGTGTTTCAGTATAACATTAAAATGCTTCTTGGTTACTAACAGTCCTTAATTGAAGACTATCCGGTTATTGTTCCTGAAATTAAGCATGAAGTTATATCAACAAAGATGGTTGAAAACTTTTTTCCTTGATGCGAGACAGAGTCGTTACTCCAGATACAATTGAATTTGCTGTTTCGTTCTCTTCAGTATGTACAGAACTTATGAAAAAAACATATCTTTGCCATATCTATACTTTACGAATCCAGATTCTTACTACGAACGCCCTGAAGGTTTGGTGCCTTTTAGGGCAGTTGTGAAATTGCTAAAAATCAAAGAAATCAAAATCACTCAAGCTGATAGAACACTCTTGGATGATTATAGGAAGAAATATCTGCAAAGCGTAAAACAACTCTCTATTAGACAACAGAACACCAAATGCAAAGCAGAAACACTTCCACTGTATGCATATCAGAAAGAGACACAAAGTATTGATACAATTGACTTTGAAAAATTGTTGATTGATGAAAAAGAAACTGGTGAACAAGCATCACTTATAATGTTTCCAACTAGACATTGTTACTTCTGTCTGTTGAAGTGTGGAATCTAATCAACAATAAAAAAAGAAAAAAGGATATGCGACTTTATCGTATGCAACACCACTATAGAAACACCTGTTGGATCGGACGATGTACGTGGGTATATGTTTGTAAATTCTCCAGGAAACCCCTTTATTTGTAAAACGTTCAAATATATGACAATTAGCATAGACCATGTGGTGAAGGAACTATATCTGAATCACAGATAAATGTTAAATCAAGTCAAATAAGTATATCTGAACTTTTTTACGAGGAACTTATTGGAAAACCCAAGAACAAAAACGCAGTGGAGACAAACAGGATGAAGACATCAACGCAGTTATGGGGATAACACAATCTTCCGGGACACGACAAAGACGGACACCAAGTTATTTAAAAGACTATTTTGATTAAAAAATTAATCAATGATCATCAATCAATGCTTTTTTAAATTTATTTTTAGCCATTTTAGATCACTTTATATATTATCTTGTCCCGGAAGATTGTTATATCTCCATATCTGTGTTGCTGTCTTCATCGTGTTTGAATTTACTGCTTTTTTGGTACAGTAGTTTTTCAATAAGAGTCAATAAGTTCCTCGTAAAGAATTTAAGAAAAACTAACAGTGTTTCATTTGAATTCACATTTAGCTTCGCATTCACAGATAGTTCATTCACCACATGGTCTATGCTAATGTCATACAGTAAATATAGTGTTACAAACAGAGGGATTTCCTGGATAATTCACAAACTTTGTCCGATCTAAAAGGTGTTTGTTCCATGGTTTTGCATATATTTAGTTGGCATTTTCTATGTTTTTTATTGTTTATTGAATTCCATACTTCAACAGACAGTAGTATCAAGGTACCAATTGGAATCATTATTGGTCATGCTTGTACACCAGTAATTCATGTTCATAAATTATCAATTGTTCATCAACTGTATCACACTTTGTGTCTGATATGAAGATTCCTTGCTTAGGGTTTTGTGTTCAGTTAAGTTTTATGTTCTGTTTACTTATCAAATGGCAAAAATCAAAAGCCCAAAAACATCAAACGAATTGAAAACAAATGTCATATTCCTGACTTGGTGAATTAACCCTGGTTTTATAGCTAGCTATGTAACACATGTACTAATATACTTCACCTTCACACATATACATGATGGCTTCTCACTTAAAAGTAAAATATCAAAAATACCGAACTCAGAGGAAAATTAAAAACGGAAAGTCCCTTATCAAATGGCAAAAATCAAAAGCTATGTAACACATGTACTAATATATGTGAATTGCTTACTTTTCCGGAGCTCACTATGATGAGGTGCTTGTACATTTTATCTTCTGTGTTATGTATTTAATTTGTCTCGTCTTACTTTTTTATTTTGATCGTTGTCTTATTTGTTCTTTTTTACGGAAAAAAATTATTAATGTGTCTGTCCTTGGTTCCCTCTTATTCTTTTGATATTGATGTCCGTCCTTAATTATAG